TTAATACAGTTCCTCATGTTGTGGTGACCCCCCATCCATAAAATTACTTTCGTTGCTACTTCATAACTGTAATTTTGCTACTGTTATGACTCATAATGTAAATATCTGATATGCAGGATGGTCTTGCGCGCCCCCTGTGAAAGGGTCGTTCGACCGCCAAAGGGGTCACGACCCACAGGTTGAGAACCACTGCTAATGACTCATAAACAGTGAAAGTTTGCTGCTTTCTAGGCCAGCGTGGGGGGACATTTTGAAGCTTCTTTAAAAAAAATTTTTTTAAATTGATTTCAGAGAGGAAGGGAGATGGAGAGAGAGATGGAAACATCAATGATGAGAAAGAATCATTGATTGGCTGTCTCCTGTATGCCCCACAATAGGGATCAGGCCCACAACCTGGGCATGTGCCCTGACTGGGAATCAAACCATAATCTCCTGGTTCATAGGTGGATGTTCAACCACTGAGCCACACTGGCTGGGCTTGAAGCTTCTTTTTATCTCTCACTTTATATTTTATATCTCCCCCTACAAAAGAAAAAAAAATTCCTTTCATTGCTGATCTGGGTAGAAATGATAGCATCTTACAATTTCAGTATACATCCATCCATCAGAGAAGTAAGCCACTCTCAGGGTCTTTGGAATGATCTCCCTATCCTACTTCCTTAGGCAAACAAAACCCCAGAAAAATTTCCCACTGCTTCAATTATTGGAGTATTTCAGGTGAATTTGCCTTATTTTGGCCTGGATCCTTTTGAAATCACACTTGTGGTGTGTACATCCATTTACCTAAGAGAGCAAAGTGTATGTGTCCCTGCAAAGGTATGAAAGCGTTACTTTAGAAATGTATTTTGGCCTGCAGTAGAAGGCTGGTTTTCCAAGTTGTCCGTTTTGAAAGAAGGTCAGGAAACACCCCCGAATAATTATTGCCGCTTAATTCCCGAGTTCTGCCTGCTGCAGCTTTAGGTGTGACATTCATTAGCTCTGCAGCACAGAAAGCCACCCTCTGACACTTGGGCGGGCCTGAGAGTGAACATAGGGAACTTGCCGAGTCCCATGGGATCCACCCTTTCTGGGCGGTCTGTGTCCTCAGAGAGCAGGGGCAGGCTGTGGATGGGAAGGACTTCTTGCTTTATATTTTTCTCCCTAATGTAGACAAAAACCCAGTATATTAGATTGCAGGTTTTATTTGTATCCATATATACCTTTAAGGAGTATTTATATGAAGCACGTAATTTGAGAGACCAACCATTTTGACTTGTGCGTCTGAATTCTCTCTTCTTTTTCCTCGTTCTACCTCCCAAATTTATTTCTAATTCTGATTTTGCCTGGTAGAGGAGATTGAGTTGACATTTTGTGTTTTGAAGTGTCTAACAGGTGTGATTATGTCTTTAGAGAAGGATCGCAGCAAAAGGATGGAGAGATCTTAGCCTGAGAGGAACACCATCTAAAAACTGTGAAGAGATGGTGCAGATTTCACAGTGTGGCCAATCGATACACCAGGAGTGAATACTTTACTTTGTTATGTTTAAATATCTGAATGTGTGTTGACATTTAGGTTAGCAGTTTCAAACGTTTTGGCCTCAGCACTACTTTATGCTTTTAAGTTTTATTGATGTTTCCCCAAGAGTTTTTGTTTATATGGCTTATATGTATTAGTAATTACCATTTAAGAAATTAAAACTGAGAAACTGAAAAAAATTAATTCATTTAAAATTCCAAACTAATAAACCAGTTACAAGTTAATGTAAATATCATTTTTACTGAAGATGTTCATTTTTATCGGCAGTAAGAAGAGTGACATTGTTTTACATTTTTGAAATTCCTTGTGCTTAGTACAAGACAACTGGGTTTTCATATCTGCTTCTAAATTCAATCTGTTGCAATATGTTATTTTGGTTGAAGTATGAACAGATAAGTAGTTTTAAAAAGGATATTTTGATAGCTTTATAAAGTTCATTATGAGTAATCATTTAAAAATATTTTTATTGATTTGAGAGAGGGAGAGGGAGAGAGAATCGTTGACTGGCTGACTCCTGCACGCCTCCTACTGGGGACTGAGCCCACAACCTGGGCATGTGCCCTGACCGGGGGTCAAACTGTGACCTCCTGGTTCCTAGGTCAACGCTTAACCACTGAGCCACACACCAGATGGGTGAATAATCATTTTTTGATGTTATATCACAACTAGGCAAGTGGTAGTTTCTCCCCCCCACCCCCCCCCCCCGATTTTATTTTATTTTCAAGTGGAAGTTTCTTAATGGTTAGTTGTAATGTGGAATCTGAAGCCATTTCAATGAACTTTGTGTGCACTGCAGCATTTGGATCCTTTTGGTAGTCTTGCCACATGACTGAGTCTTTTAACCAGGTTTGGTTATTTGGAAAAGCTTGGTTCACTGAGTTATACATATTTTCCAAATGTTAACACATTCTATTAGACAATATGATGAAATCACATTCAATAATATCATCACAGATATTAAATTTCTGATGATAGGAAAAGCCTTTCAGTCAACCGCAGTACGAGGTTTTCAAACTTAGTTTTGTTGAAAGTTCAAGTTTAGTCATTGGCAACAAATACTATTAGTTGTTTTTCTTTCTTTCTTTCTTTTTTTTTTTTTTAGTGAGTCTCTGCTAGCAGCATTTAATACACACTCAAAAGAACAAGTCTTAACTGAGAAATGCAGGATGCCTCATTTTCATAGTAATTTTTTAAGTCCCAGTGATGAAAACTAAGGCAGCTTCCTCAAAGGAAGTGACATTGATGAATCCAGTGCAGCCAGTGTGCTGAATCTGAGGAGACAAAGTCTTTATCACGTCCAACTAGACTGTTTTGTGACTTAATCTGAGTCTTTTGGAACAGTTACTCCTTCTTATTAGTTGTATGGTTGTTATACAGCCATGGAAGGAACAAGCTAAATGTCAAAATCATCAACAATATACCTAAAGAAGGAGCCAGCCAATATACTATAAAAAATTGAAAGAAATCTTCATCGAAACATTTGAAATGTAGTGAAAGTGCCAAAGCTGGATTAAATATAGCTCCTCTTAGACTTCCTTCTGCATAGACCAAAAAGGTGATGAGTGCTGCCAGCATGTGGATACGAAGCTTGGTTCCGACCTCCTGGAAGTGCAGCAGGGCACTGTGGAAGATGAAGGAGCAGATGGCCTCTACGACGATGGCTTTGGGCAAGTCGACGTGCATGGGGGTCCTGCAAACGGAGCTCCTCTCACCGACGTGAGACCTGGTCAGTCCCAGGCTCTACAGGGCGCCTATACAGTACCTGCTGCCCAGGGCAGCCATCAGCTGAGCCAACAGCCTCACCTCCCCTGTCTCGGGGGACATTCCCCCCAGCATCTTCTGCATCATCACACTGCACGGGTTACTGGCCGTGCCCAACAGAGTCAGGTCATGCACCAACGAGAAGAAGTAGGTTAGCGTCAGCGGCCAGGTGGGGTGTGCGGGTTCCTGCTCTCCCAGCAGTTGCAGCTCAAGGGTGCAGAAGCAGAGCTGGAAGGTGCCCAGAAACTCCAAGACGAAGGTGTGGGCCGTAGGCCTGTGCACGTGCCGCTGGAGGACCCCGTGGGCGGACAGCATGATCGACAACATCAAACCCAGCGAGGTGCAGGTGCCCCCGCAGCGTCGTCATGGCCTGCTCCCCTAGACTAGGCTGCGGGTCAGCTCGGCCAAGTTGTTTTTCTTAAAGTAACAAGATTACATTGTTCATTTTTGAGAAATATCTGCCCAGTTCCCAAATCTATGTCATTCCAATCAGGACCGTTAGTTGATCTTTCAAGTGACAATGACGTGCCAAGAGAAGGGCAGCTGGTTCAGGGCACAATTCCAACCATGGCCCCAGTGCTTCTCCGCCAGACCGACGTGGTTTGGGGTATGCAGTACTCATCCCATTTCTCCATACAGAATACTACACAGACATGCACTTAAGGCTTGACTTTTAATAAAATTAGCATTTCTGCTGCTTTATGAGGAACATCAAGTGAAACTGCCATTCATATGGTCGTCATTAGCATTTTTATTGCAAGTACACTCCCGTAGTTCCCCTCTTTATCCCCGGTTTCACTCTCCATGGTTTCAGTTACTGTCATCTGAAAATATGAAGTGGGAAATTCCAGGAAGAAACAATTCCTAAGTGTTAAGTCGTCCGGAGCAGTGTGCTGAAATCAGGCACCGTCATGCTCCGCCCCTGCCGGGACACGAATCATCCCTCTGCCCAGCATCCCCACGCTGTACACACTCCGTGCCCAGTAGTCACGGTTTGGGGTCTAGGTTATCAGATCAGATTGACGGTAGCAGTATTGTAGTGCTTGTGTACATGTAAGCCTTATTTTCCTTAATAATGGCTCCCACGCACAAGAGCAGTGATGCTGATAATTCGGATATGCCAAGGAGAAACCATAAAATGCTTCCATTAAGTGAAAGCACGGAAGTTCTCAATTTCAGGAGGAAAGAAATGAAATCGTATGCTGAGGTTGCTAAGCTCCGTGGCAAGAAAGAATCTTCTACCTGTGAAACTGGGAGGAAGGAAAAGGAAATTCATGATAGTTTTACTGTTGCACCTCAAACTGCAAAAGTCAGGGCCACAGTGTGTGGTAAGTGCTTAGTTTAGATGGAAAAGTCATTAAATTTGTGGATGAAAGACATGAGCAGAAAATGAGCTCTGATGGGCAGCAACATGTTGTGCCAGAAAACGGTGAGCCTGTAAGAAGATGGACATCAGGGACACCAGGCCATTTCCTGCAAGTAAGGGACCATACTCAAGAATAGGTTTGGGCTGAAGAATAGAAAAAAGTACTGGCCAGGCTGCATCGGCTGATGAAGCAGCTGCCGCCATATTTCCAGCAGAGGTGCAAAAGTGGACTCGGAATCAGAACTATTCACAGTTTCAGGCATGCACAGGGTCTTGGAACATATCCCCTGCAGATAGGTGGGGACTACTGTAATTAGCATTTAATGTATGTTTGTTAGTGTTACTTCTGTGTCTCCGCGTGCTCAACATTTATGTCAGATGACATCTATGGGTTCCAATAATGAGTGCTATTTCCTTTCTGTAGGGTTAATTTTTGTGCTAATACAGTTTCTGGAAACTATTGACTGCTGATCAAAAAGAAAACCAGTCAGTATAGGGAGATCACACTTTACATACAGCTATGTAAAAAGAAAATGCAGTTATGTTCTTTTTCACTTATTTGATCTTTCTGTTAAGTACATCATCTCCTGAGTAGGAAAGTGGAGCCATTTATTCTAATCCAATAATTTTAGTCTAATACAATAGTTTAAGTCTGTAGGCAACCCAGTGGATTTTGGTTTAAGTCTTGGTATTTTGGTTTCCTTCTTCTAAACCTGCTGCTCTCCAACCATGTCCAGGTATATTGGAAAGGGAGAGCCTGGGGTGAAGAGAGACGGCCCCTAAGACTTGTTTTCAATGCTGTGTACTGTCCTCTGGTTCCATTGGAAACGCCTCTTGTCTATCTATGACTACGGCTGGCCCCTAGCCTGAAAGACCGAGGTGGTTGTCTGTTCTCTATAAATTCAGGGTGAAGCCTTGTGCTAAGAGAAGTAAGCCAGTCGGAGGAAAATAAATGATCTCACTCATTTCTGGAATATAATGAACAACATAAACTGATGAACAAAAATAGATCCAGAGACAGAAGCATCAAACAGACCATCAGACCTCAGAGGGAAGGCAGGAGAGGCAGGGAGTGGGTAAGAGATCAACCAAAGAGCTTGTATGCATGCATGTAAGCCCAACCACAGACAGTAGGGGGCTCAGGGCATGTACTGAGGGGTGGGAGTGGCCGAGGAGAGGTCAATGGAGGAAAAAGGAGACATATGTAATACTTCAAACAATAAAGAATTAAAGGAAAAAAATTCAGGGTTAGGGCCAAGTAGCTTTCTTTGGTTATTGGCTTTAAGATTTTTGTGACATTCATTCAATCCCTGGAACACTGACTTCTGACTATGAGCAAAGTCATACTATCAGCTGACTTCTACTATGTGCTGCCTTGGGGTCAGGTGGGAACATCTATCTTAGGAGAACTCAGCAAAGACCCTTCTTCTTCCCATCACATTGTGCTACACTTTTACTCTGTTGCCACCATGCCCGCCACAGGAAGTAGGACAAAAATCTTCATGTTTCAGGCATTTCCTTAAGTCGAATACACTCTCCTCTTTGCTCCTGAGATAGGAGAACAAGACACACATGTCTCACCTATTTCCTCTTACCTCTCTTCACCTGCCTGTTGGGGTGGACTTTCCACCCCCTGGATGTCACACCCTGGGTCCTGTGATCTGGTGCACCAGCTCGGTGCTGGAGGTGGTGCTTTGTGGTTCACACATCATTCTTTCTCCTGACAGCCTGGCTTGCAAGTCCCCTCTCTCTCTTAAAGAGGTCAAGAAAGTCAGCTCTGAGAATAAAAGCTCATCAATAGTGTCTTTGTTCTAGGTTCTTTCCTCCCCCAGAGCAATAAACCTCCAGGCTCAAATTGAAAAAAAAAACCTGAAAGGACTTAGAGGGGGAAATTAAGAACATTGTTTTCATATGCACAAACTCTGTTATGTTAATTCATCAGCGTTTGTCTAACTACAAAACCCATGCTCTTTCCAATGCAGGATAGTTGACAGTGAATAAGCCTGTTGTTTTTTAGGTAGAAGACAAAAAACTCAGAACTCAGAAGACAGAAAGAAATTGGAGGTAGTTGAAATTTGGACACAAGCAGTGAGGACGAAGAGACAAACATCTAAGGTTCTCTGAGAGGGCCCATGCCAAGTGTTACTGCTATAGAAAATGGATGTATTCCTGGACATTTTATGATGTTGCTCTCAGGACTCGGATATCACTATTTTAAAGAGGTATGAATAAAATGGCCACTTAACAATCCAACATAGAGGTCTCATCCAATGATATATCCAGAATAATCAGGATATAATCTAAGGTATTATTGCTAGGTAGAATTTCTTTAAAATGTGAACATTTATTTTCAGACTATCTAAATTGAATTAGGACACTGGAGTCGGTCTGTCTGGGTTTGAGTCCGGGAACACACTCCCATGGCATGCGAGAAAATCAGTTTTAATCATCTATAAAATGAGGATTACAAGAGTCAGCATTTATTGAGTGTTTCTGCCTGCCAGGCACTCCTCTAAGCATTGTGTATTAATTTATGTGATCTAAATCATGCCAAGATGTACTATGGCCATCTTTGCTTGCAGATGACAAAACCGCATATCTGAGAGATTATTTAACTTGTTTATGATCGTCTGGTTAGTGAGAGCTAAAGGGGATTAGAATCCAGGCAGTATGGCTTTAGATCTGAGCCATAACAGCAAACACTTTTTCACATACTCTATTCTAGGCATTGATCTAAGCACTTCGTATCCTGTGGGTTAGGAACTATTTTTATCCCATTTTACAGATTAGAAAGCTGAGCGTGGACAGATTATCTTGCTCACATTGGCACTACTATTAAGTGTAGAGCTGGATCCATGCAGTCTGGCTCCACAGTTTATGCTCTCAACCTTGATGTGCACTATCTCCATGATATTTATGAGGAATAATTGAGCAAATCCATGTGAAATACTTAGCACAGCACCTGATACAGAGGAAACATTCAATACAAATGAACTAATTATTAACCAGGATATCCCTTCCACAGGCAAATGTTACACAGATCCTTTAAGCATGGAGTGTTCTGCATAAGTAAACCTTTTATTATGTGTGTTATTCTTGTAGCTATCCCCATCATTTGGTTTTATAGAATTTCATTCATTCACTCATTCATTAATGCAGTCAATCACTCTTGCCTCGCATGTAACTTTTTTTCTTTATTGTTGCAAGTATTATAGATGTCCCCTTTGTTTGTGTTTTTTTTTCTCCCATTGACTCCTTCCACCCTGCACCTACCCCTCCCAGGCCTTCACCACTTTATTGTCTGTGCCCACATATGCATATAAATTCCCTGGTTAACCACTCCTCCCCCATCCTTCCACCCCCCAACCCCTGCCTTCCCTCTGAACTTTGTCAGTCTGTTCCATGCTCCTATGTCTCTGGATCTATTTTGTTCATCAGTTTATTTTGTTCATTATATTCCACATATGAGCTCACATGTAACTTTTTTGCTTGTTTGTTTGTTTTTGGTTAATCCTCGCCGGAGGATATATTTTCATTGATCTTTTAGAGAGAGTAGAAGGGAGAAACATGGATGTGCAAGAGACACATTGATTGTTTGCCTCCTGCATGCACCCCGACCAGGGCCAGGGAATTTGCAACCAAGGTGCATGCCCTTGGCTAGAATCGAACCCAGGACCTTTCTGTCTGAGGGCCTACCTACACTCTATCCACTGAGCCAAACTGGCTAGGGAAACATGTAACTTTTAATGTGCCCACACTGCCAAGTGCTCTGGTATGTGATGTACTGGTAGATAGATACCTCTATGAAAAAAAGTTCATGGATTTGTTGGACTGAAGTTAAAGAAGCAATAAGCAACTTTAAAAAATTCTGTATTAGCAGTTGAGCTTCACTAATTAGGGATTTCAGTTCCATAAAAGGGACTTGTTTTGGACTTCAGAGATGCCGGTGATATTGTGCCATTTAACTGCTTCAGGTTAAGTTGCTGCACCC